GAAGTTGCCCAAGTTCAAGAATCTGATATAACAGCATACCATGTATCAATAATAAAATAAAAATGACATACATTGGTACAACATAGTTCCTTGCTCGTTTGGTACGAGGGATAAGGGAAAATTAATCCCGGGGATTAAATTTGAAATGAGTTTATTCCACGTTTGGTTGGGATTACAGTATAAGTTAAAGGGACTAAGAGGGTGCACTTACACTCATAAAAGCAATATCCTCATCATTTTTTGGCCTTTGAATACCAGAGTATACAGGGTAATTGAACTTGCCTGTTCCTTGCTTTACTTCTTTCGCATTCCATACAGAATTGAAAACCAAAGGAGAAGGGTTATGTAGACCTCCATTTTCAGTAGCGACTAACTTCCTATTGCTTCCGATTATAGGAATGTTAAAATTTTGTGCACCCTTTTGAATTTCAAGCTTCTGAAAAAGAATGAGCACAACAAAAATGGCCCTACTTAGTTTTCCAATTCACATCGAGAGTACTAACGAAACGTTTAAGTGATCTTATTAACACTGTCACAGTACCTTACAGTCATTGAAAAAACCAGCGTCCAACATATCAAATCCACATTTACATACTGGAAAACTATTTTTGGCCTGTTCCAAGTGTTCCCCGCAGTTTTTAGGACCCAACTTCCCACTGTCCTGATTAATAACTACAGATTATCAAACAGAAACTATAGCAACTATATAATAGAGGCAACTAACTTTATCATTGATTTAATGCAAATTTGAATGTACTACCTTGACGTAAGGTCCCTGGAATAATAACCCCAGGTGCTCTGTGGTAAATATTTGCGTAACTTTCTACAAATTCTGACCTGCTTTGCAAATGTTAGTTTGAAGAAAGAGACCAGACACTAGATCTTTATTTACCTTTTCACCTTCTAGTCTGCTGTTTCTATTCTTAGAGTGCTAAAATATAATTCAGTGGTGTTCCCCTACTATGTTATCCACAAGCTACTAAATGTATAGTGGAAATAATGACTGCAAGCTTGCAATGGAAATATATTAAACAAGAAAATCCATAGTAACTTCAAATGATAGATTGTATAATATAGTACTCATGAGTACATTAGCAAGTATCATTAAAATGAGTCAAAACTACTCTACCAATTTAAATGTAAGTAACAACACAAAAAAGAAATAGCAGAAACGCATGCAATTCTTGATTAAGCAAGAGGAAGATGAAGGAAGAGGAGTCGAGAGTATACCATATTTGTGGAAATGCAGGCAAAACCCAATATTCTAATGGGAATAATGAAGAAGAAATTGGAGTTACGTTGCTGTTTAACATAACATAACAATGTTGAAACAAGAGAAACAGTCCGAGGAATGTGGTTAATGGCAAGAACGGTGTTGGCAACGTGGGTATCAAGTGACAAATGTCACATTAGCAGGTTGCCACGTAATTAGTCATGAGGACGAGGCCCTTTGGTTCTCTGCAGTAAACTCCTTTGTGTGGTTTCGTAAACTCAATGTTTACTGTTTAGTATAACCAATTCTACAATAGTTTAATCTAAAAAGTTTATGCTCGTAGTGGGGATAAACCTACTATTCCTTAATGATTATATATGCATATTTGCACGGGCGGAGACACGATTTAAAATTTATGGGTTCGAAATTTTAGTTATTTTAAGTTACTGAAATCTAAATTAATAATTTATGTATAATTTAATTAATTTTTAAAGACAAATATACGATATTGAACTAAAACTACGGGTTCAGCTGAACACGCAATCGAAGGCTAGCTTCGCCCCACATATTCCTATAACTTTTTGTAAAGATGAATTTATAATTTAACATTTAAGTTCTTAGAATTTTAACTTTTATAGTTATGACTTGAAAATTTAGCATTTATTGATATTTTTATAAATTTTCACTAATTATTTATGATACGAAAAAAGTATAATGTGTTCGATGGAACCTATAAAAACAGGTTGCATCCACCTTTTGCTCTTTTGATACTCAATGTGGTTTATAATTCATGATATTATAATTCACATTGGACACACTTGTAAGAAATAAGAATCGTCCTATCTCTTTCAAAATATTGCTGCTACTTATCTCAATATTATTGCTCGATCAATTTTTTCAAATTTAAGGTTTAAATTTAACGGTCGTTCGACTAATCCCATTGTAGAATAATTTTAAATTACTTGCTATTAATAATTATGTGCCAGCTCAAGTGGTTTAATTTTTCCATTTCGGATAAGGGGTCCAAGGTTCAGCCCTTGTTGTCTCCAATATTTTTTATTTTTTAAGAAGAATGACCAAATTTATAAAATTAAAATAAGGTATCCTATAGGACTCAATCCCATGTCCCCTCTAATAAATTTGAAGGTTGAACCAGCGAGCAAAGCCAATTTTCATGTTAAAGCGGTGTCATTTTCCACTTGTATTAAATGTATTTTGTTTTTGTATTATTCACAAATATATATTTAGTAATATATTTTTCGACGAGGCCTCCGCCAATCGTCGTAGGTATATTAATCACGTTTATTCGCATACTAGTATTAGCACCCGCGCGGATGCGCGGACATTAATCATGTCAAATATTTAAGTTATTTGGATTATATGTAAATAATCTTAAAATTT